AACTCTGAATAACCCTAAAACCCTAACTCTGAATAACCCTAACAAACCCTAACTCTGAATAACCCAAACAAACCCTAACTCTGAATAACCCAAACAAACCCTAACTCTGAATAAACCTAACAAACCTTAATTCTGAATAACCCTAACAAACCCTAAAACCCTAACTCTGAATAACCCTAAAACCCTAACTCTGAATAACTCTAACAAACCCTAACTCTGAATAAACCTAACAAACCTTAATTCTGAATAACCCTAACAAACCCTAACTCTGAATAACCCTAAAACCCTAACTCTGAATAACCCTAACAAACCCTAACTCTGAATAACCCAAACCCTAAAACCCTGACTCTGAATAACCCAAACCCTAAAACAGGACCCTTACCTTGACCCTGAACCTTAAACATGACTAACCAGAACTTGAAACCCAACTCGGACCCTAAGCCTGAGACTAAGCGTGACCCCGATTAACCCAACCCAACACTAACCCCTAACCCAAACCCTAACCCAACCTTAACCCTGAACTTCTCAGAGGGATCACAGCTGTCCCTTCTCTTTCAGGCCGACATCGTGACCAAAGGGAATGAACACAAACTGGTAATTTCACTGGAACCAGAGGCTGCCTCAGTCTGGTGTAAGAAGCTTCCCCCCGATGGCTTCATAATGATGTGCCATTCCAGAGAGGCACTGGATCAAACCCCAGGAACTCAGTATATTGTTGTGGACTGTGGAGGTAACTGGCCGAACACCATAAACATTCTTAGATTGTCATTGGCTCTGGAAGGTTTATTGTTTTCCATCACAGGCCCAGAAGGACGTTCTGAGGTTTGCCCACATGGGGGCGGCCTCCTCCACCGATTATCTTCTGATAACGCAGAAAGGCAGCAACGCAATTAGTGCCAAGATCTTAAAAAGGAAAGCTGACCTTCTTGACCTCGACTATAACCTGAATTACTAAATCACACAGTTCAGCTTCAGTTCAGCATTTTCAACATTTTTTTTTTTAAAACATTTATTTATTGATTTTAACAGGAGAATAAGAAACATACATATATACACTTAAAAAGACTTAAACTAGACCAGACAAAAACCCAAAGGACGTATACACAAGGTGGAGAAAAAAAAAGAGAAAAAAGGGGGACCCTCGTCAGACTAACCTACATAAACATCAGTTTGCCTAACCATATGGCCTTATAACCAATCCTCTTTCCATCCATCAAGTTGGATATCATTTTGACACAGCCAAGTGTAAAAGACAGACCAGATCACCCAAAATGTATCAAGCTTATTCTTAGTAAAATAACTGATTTTCTCAAGTGCAAAGTAGAACGTCATTTGCGTGGTCCATTGTGAAATTCCACATAATGTCCCTTTCTTCCAAGAGAGTGCAATGCAGCGTTTGGCTTCCAAAAAGGAGACTTTAAGTAAGGATCTCAAGTTGTTTGGGATAACAAAGTCTTCAGGGTAAATATTCAAGATGCACATTTTAGGATTCGCATTTCAACATTTGATGTTTTTTTTACTAACAACAAAAATTTACAGGGCAGTCGTGTAGTGCTCCTAACAGCTAGAAGGCTCCTGGTTGACACCTTAGCTGGGGTTGTTCTTCGGGTTACACCATCTAACAGTCGGTCATCACTTCCTGTGTTGCAGGGGGAACCATTGACATCACCGTACATGAAGTCCTGGAAGAAGGAGCCCTGAAGGAGCTGGACAAGGCCTCTGGAAACAACCTGGGGGGTCAAACTGTCGACAGAAAGTTCAAGGCTTTTCTCAGTCAGGTTTTCTGTGAGGGTGTCTGGGATGAATACGAGAAAAACTATCCCAGTGAGGTCCAGAAACTGATGTACGACTTCACTCGCCTCAAACAGGTCGATGAAGACATCAATTTCACCTGCCCATTTAACCTGGGGAGACTGGCTGGGAAAGAGAAAGACATAGAAGAGTTCTTTGAGCCAGTGGAAGGTGTCACCTGGAATGATGGTTCAATCAAAATCTCCAGAGAAAGGCTGAGGGGTTTCTTT